ATATATATATATATATTCATTATTATAAAAAAAAAATTAAAACATATTTCCAGAGTGGTTTTGATAATTCTTCATCACTCTGTTGCCTGCTACTAATTTCAAAAGAAGACAGGTTTTAATGTTTTAAGTTTAATGGTGTTTTCCTTTCTAAAACTCTATCTGCTATTATATAGGATAGATTATTTAATAATTTATAATTACATTTATGTAAAGATATTAAATATAAAGTGGAGTTTGATTATATTAACATATAATTTATTAGCACAATTTTATATATATTAGAAGTTTTAATATCATTATCTAGTTCCAATAATAAAATTATAATTGTCAATTATTAACACAATTTTAAATGTATTGAAAGTTTAATACTATTATCTATTTACAATAATAAAACTATGCCCATGTTTGAACCCCATTCTCCAAAATTTATTTTTTCTCAAACTCATTTTCAACCACATATTCGCCCAATAAAATAATTTACAATTTTACACATAAATCCAAAATTTTTCTCTAATTTTAACCACACATTCTTAAAAAAGAAATAATATTGCAAAACTCATTTTCCCCAAATATGTGGCTCAAACAAAGTCTATATTTGTCAACTAGTAACGTAGTTTTATACGTGTAAAAGTTTTAAGACTATTGTCTATTTCCAATAATAAAACTTTAGTTCTCAATTAATTTAAAACTTTAGCTTGTCAATTATTTGATACTATATCTATTTTCTATAATAAATGTAAACTGTGTGGTTATCTATTATTTTAAAAAAGTTTACTTTATTTGAAGTTGTTAATTCATAAATTTATCGATTTTCAATAAGTTATAATAATAATAGTTATATATTAAACTTTGTCATCAATTACCAATAATAATGAGTTCTAAGGGAGTGTAAAATCAACAAAACTCTTTTTTTTCACGTGTTATAACGTGTCTAATATTAAGACTTGAAATTCCATCTTAAAATGTCAAGTTTATTAAGAGGAGTCTCTCAAGCTTTTATAAATTGTTATATGTTTTCAACTTTATTCGATATAGAATTTTATCCCTTAACATGCCTCTCGTAAGATGGCGATTCGTTTGAGCAGAATAATCTTGAAATTTGTATGTTCATTTTTTGTGTCTTAATTGGATCAAATTGCACATTGGAGTTTAATGATCTCTGATACCATATTAAGATTCGGAGTTTCATCTTGAAATGTCAATCTTATTAAGAGGAGTTACCAAATTTTTTGTAAATTGGTCTATATTTTTATATGTGGGATTTTATCCCTTAACATATAATACGTATCGAAAATTTAAAAATGCAAAATAACTGAAATTATGAGAGGATGTCCAAGCATATTCAAGCTTGGATACATATCAATAAGAAATATACAGTAAGTTTACCCATATCCGTGCTTCTTAGACTACACAAACATGCACGAATATCCTTTGTCTGTGTTTCATTCTTCTTTTTTCCTCATTATTTTGTTAAATCGAATATGAATACATTTCATTTCGGTTGTTATTGTTGTTCCATTTTTTTTTTTTTTTTGGGGTAGGGATGGGAGATGGAGGCACGAGATGCTTAAGAGCATCATACTTGACACCATAATTGTGTCACTTTATTGCTCTAATTGATCTAAATCACAATCTTGGAAGAAATTAATTTGGTGATCTATTATTATCTTGATGCATGTTTCTTGGCAAATATTGACTTTGTTATGTTCCATCTTATCTAGATCCAAGATTTTAAGAAGATATCAGTTTTCTTTTTTATGTTAAGCAGGAAAATTGTAGCATAGGATTAGGCAAAAGGCAAGAAACAAAACGACAAAGTGAAATCTTAGAATATGACACTGGCCTTAATGCCATTAAGACTGATTCTCAGAAAGTCAAGGACTACGGACTCCCACCTCTAGTTAGTGCTCTAAAAGCTTCAGCTGAAGAAAATGCAGCCAGTTTTCACTTTCCAGGGCATAACAGAGGGCACGCAGCACCATCATCATTGAGACAGCTGATCGGTGTCAGACCATTTCTTCATGACTTACCCGAGCTTCCGGAGCTGGACAACCTTTTTGCTCCGGAGGGGCCTATTTTAGAAGCGCAAAAACAGGCGGCTGAACTTTTCGGAGCATCAGAAACATGGTTTCTTGTTGGGGGCAGTACGTGTGGAGTCCAGGCAGCAATTATGGCTACTTGTTTACCTGGAGACACTCTTATCCTTCCTCGAAACTCTCATATCTCTGCAATCTCTGCCATGATATTATCTGGTGTGCTACCCAAGTACATTGTCCCCGAGTATGATCATAACTGGGACATTGCTGGTGGCATCACTCATTTACAGGCAAGTAGAATTTAGTGTTGTTTGGCATGGCTTTTGAAAAGCCAAAAGTTCTTTTTGAGACTATGAAACTATTTTTGGACCTGTTTAGATAATTTTCTATAAGTTTTTTGTTGGTTAGATGTGTCCCATGACTTCCTTTGGAAGCTAATCTGCAAAGGACCTGCCAAACTGGCCTTAGTATGTTCATAGTTTTGTTGACTCTTGTCTGTCTAAAGTTGTTTCTTTTGAAAATTAAAGGGTTTAAGTTTAATTTTTAACAAAAGAATATTGAATGTCTGAGAATAAGTCCTTTTTTTCGTATGTGGGACATTAGTTTCTTTGGCTTTTGTGTAAATCCAAAATGGATGTTTTAACAGGTAGAGAAAGCAATCAAGGAACTAGAGATGGAAGGTCGAAAACCAGCTGCTGTTTTGGTTATTTCCCCGACTTACCATGGTGTTTGCAGCAATATTGGTGCAATTGCGGAGTTGTGTCATACCCATAAGATTCCTATAATTGTCGATGAGGCTCATGGGGCGCACTTCGGCTTCCATCATCAGTTGCCTATCTCGGCCCTTGCTCAAGGAGCAGATCTTGTCGTACAATCTACTCACAAAGTCCTATGCTCTCTTACACAGTCATCAATGTTGCACATGTCAGGTAACCTCGTAGACAGAGAAAGGATTTGTTGGTGTCTTCAAACGCTTCAAAGCAGTAGCCCGAGTTATCTGTTATTAGCATCATTAGATGCTGCTCGGGCTCATCTCAGTGATAGCCAAGAAACTGTCTTCAACAAAGCTGTTGAATTAACTCTTGAAGCCAAAAATATTATCAAGAAAATTCGCGGAATCGCAGTCCTTGACTTGCCAAATATCTCTAATTTCCCTGCAATTGATCCTTTGCGAGTTACTGCTGGCGTCTGGCGCCTAGGTCTCTCTGGTTTTGAAGCCGATGATATCTTATGTAGGGATTTCAAGGTAGTTTCTGAACTTGTTGGGACCCGATCTATTACATTTGCATTTAACCTCGGAACAAAGAGAGAGCACGTATTGAGGCTCGTGTCTGGGTTGAAGTATCTATCAGAGAATTTCTCAGCCAGTGACAATACAGAAAATAGAGCAGTTGATGTCGTGTGCTCAGCACCCTTCAATGATATTAGCATGAGTTTGAGTCCAAGAGAGGCCTTTTTTGCGAAGAAGTCAAAAATCGGCATAGAGGATAGTCTTGGAAAAATCTGTGGGGAGCTTATATGTCCTTATCCACCTGGTATACCAGTTCTGATCCCGGGAGAAATTATCACCGAAAGAGCACTGAATTATTTGCTGCATGTAAAAAGCAAGGGTGCCATTATAAGTGGAGCTGCTGACCATCTTCTTTCCTCCCTTCTGGTATGTCATGACTAGAGCGCGAGCAATTTTCTACTTCTCTAAAGGGAGGTTCAACCTATGCCCGACTAAGGACTAGCAACTCCGGTAAATGCTGTGCAGTGACATAACCTAACATTTGAACTACATTCTATTTCACTGGTCAAGAAATTTTGATTGCTGAGGACCAAGTTTCAAGGAGAAGCGTTTCAGTGCATTCATCACGCTATTTGAAATTTGGACAAGATAAGAAGGAATTGAAACCTTCACTAGGTGGAGTCACCTCTTCACGATGCAAGAAATGTAGAACTTACAGAGGATTATGAAACAACATAAACACAGATGCACATTTCTCCTCACAATTTATATATATAATAATTCTTCCAATTTCAGGGACGTTAAATTATAGTTGAAGAGTTTATTTGTTTTTTTTGTTTTTTCAATACGAGTGAAAAGCTAAGAAAACTTTAGAGTGTCTTTGGTTTATTTTTTTCTCAATACAAGTGAAAAGTTAGGAAACCTTGTTTAAGCATTTATTTCTTGTTCGTTTCATTTCCCCTAAAGTTGAGATCAAAACAACTCGTGGGGTTTCGGATCCAAATATTTGTGCATGTAGGGCATTTTGTAATGTTAGACTAGACATGATGGATGAATTTAAAAGTATTAAACCTTTTGCCGTGGTGTGTAGTTGTTTCTAATATTGCATAACGAACACAAGTTTAGTATAGATTTCACTTAGAAAGGTACCTCTATCAGTGAAACAAAAGTACTACCATTAGTTCATGTACCATCATTAGTTCTACATGCAATCATAGTAGGACTCCCTAAATTTGATAGGCAGTGTATGACGAATTTCGTATATTAAATTACAGAAATTGTTACAAATTGTATTTTGATAAATACAAGTGGTTGATGATCTTCTTGTTATTGCAACAAATGCACAATCTTCTGATTGATGATCTGAATGTCTGAAGACGAATGGTCACGTGAAATGAATTCTGAATTTTAAGATTTGTTGAAAACTTGACTTGTGGAGAATTTGACTTATTTGAGACTTGGATTTAAAGACTTGAATTTGAATTTCGAGACTTGTACTTGAATTTTATTTGGTTTGAAGAAGATTTGAACTTTCTTGGATTTGTTTGAATTCGAAGAAGACTTTTTATCTTCTTGGTGTTATAAACTTGGCTTGAGAGAGTTTTTTTTTTTTCTTCAACCGATCCATGGATTTCTTTTGCACTAGTGAATTTTTGTATTGCTTTTCACATGTCATTTATTATTTATTTATGTTCCTTTGGTCCTATTTATGGAGAAAATGATAATCACTTTGTAACAACCCATGATTGAATTTGATTTTATCTCATTTGATTTGATTTGATTTGATTTATTTTATTGAACTTTAAATTAGGATGGACCTCTTCCACGGGCTTCTTTTATGTGGGTTTTAATACTTTAGTTTTAAGAGGAAATTACATAAAATCAGATTTTTTAAGATTCAAAAATCAGATTTAAAGTTTGTTTTTATGAAAATCAGATGTTAATTCAAAATTTTAATATTAATAAAATATTATAAATTAATTAATCTACATGGATATATTCTCTCTCTCTACTGTATCTCCATTATCCCTTTCCCGACCTCTTTCTACTGTTTCTCTATCGCCGCTGTTCACTAGCTCTCTCCCCTCATTTCAGCACAGCTTGGACGCGACGAGATGCCGCTACAGAGTACTTCATCCACAAGTTTGCTAGAATACTTCAAGAGGTTTTGGGTCAATTTCATACCAGCAACGGATGGATATGATTTCACAATGAGTTTGATTTCTTGCAATTTCGCCCCTGCGTAGTGTGGACTGAGTTTTGGATCTCGATATGGTGTCGGATGTGAGGAAAATTGGGTTGGAGTTTTGGGTAGCGATCTGGTGGATTTGGCGCTATTGACGGTGGTGAGGTGGTGGTCGCTAATGGTTGTGGTGCAAGTAGCGTTGGTGGCGATGACGGGGCGTTGTGGCATTGGTGTTGCCCGGGGACGGGGTTGTTACCGTGACTGTAGATGAATAGTGGAAGTGATTTTGTTGGTGGTGGCGACGGCGGCGATGGGGCTATCGAGGTGGTGGTGGGACGACGTGATGATGTGTTGATTTGTTTGAGGTGGGGTGTTGCTGTTGTTGTCGAGAGGTGGGGGTCGTGGTTTGGCGACAAAGATGGCGTGCTGCTGCTTGAGGGAATGATGCGATGGTGGTCACAAGTATTGGTTGTGGTAATAAATTATTTGGTTGATTGTGACCATTAAATTTATTAATCTGTGATTGATAAACAATATGCGACCAATGAAAAAGATAAATTGTGACAAAAAATAACGTGACCTAATTTTTTTTTGTTTGTGACAGATAATTTGACAATTTGTCGTTTACTAAGTTGTCACTTATAATATTTGTGATTTGTGATCGACAAATAAATTGTTACATAAATTTTTGATTTGTCACCGATGAACAAATTGTGACTTATAAAAATTCTGAATTGTGATAATAGAATAATTTGTGACATAAAATTTTTAATTTGTGACCGAAATATAACACGTGACTAATTAAATCGTTTTATTTGTGACCAAATTATATGGAATTGTGACCTTAATATATTTATTTAATTAATTAAATCATAAATAAATTTTAATTCGTATCTAATTTTTGAAATTTGAAACATTTGTTCTTAATTTTGAAATGAGCAATACTAAGCCTCTTATTTATGAATTTTTCCCTAGTTTTAATAGACTTAAGTGGGCTTATTATTGAAATCGACCCAATTCATTAATTATTATTATACATTTTTTTAATGTATACAAATACTCTCTCAAGATTTATTTATTATGAAAATAAATAAGTAGATAAATCTTGAATTTCGATTTAAAATTTGATTTAAATGACTATATGGGACGTTACAAATTTGATTTAGGATAGAGCTCTTATCTTTGAAGCTTAAGAACAAAAGACTGTGTGTGATTTGACTTTGTGTTGAGGATTTCAGCAGAGAATTTATTTGAACTTTTCAATTAAATTTTGGATTTCGTGCTCATCAAGAAAGTAACCGGTGGAGGAAGGGAAAAAAATCCATCAATTCTACCCATTGTATTATTATTATTATACCCATAATGCATTTGAGAATATATGTGAATGTTTATGTATGCAGTATATACATTGTGTGTGTAAAAGTTGGTGAGTTGGTGAAGTTGAGTTAATGACGTTTGGTATGCGCGAGAGTAATGAATTTGGATCTGTTAGTGCATGTTTATGTGTAATTATTACTTTTTTTGACGTGAGCTTTTTTTATTTTTTTAGTAAAATTATTTTAATACAATCGAAACTAACATTTTTCATTATGTTTTTTTTTTCCTTTCCTATTCTTTTTTTAGGGATTCGACTTTTGAAGCAATTCATGAATTTTTAGGTTCAAACAAGTTTATTTGTGGAAGATTTATATTTTTGTGATACAGATATTTTGGAAGTTCAAAAGATGTTTGCTTAGGAACACACTAAAAAAAATAAATATAAAAAATTCAAACCGTCCCGTGCATGTTAATGAACAAGGATTGACAACATTTATGTTGAGAACCAAGGACCGCTTCCTTTGACTGTTCAAGGCACTTTGTGTAAAAAAACTAAGGATCAACTCTTTTGACCGTTTAAGACACTTTGTATCAAGGACTAATGACTAACTCCTTGGATTGTCCAATGCACATTATGTTGAGGACCAATGATCGGTACTTTTGACCGTTCAAACCACTTTGTGTATTTGAAAGAGTAACGATTTTAGACAATAATTGAATTTAAAATATTTGCTGTCCATTACAAATTTTATTTTTTATTTGCTCTCCCTCTCTCTCTATTTTTTTTTTTTTGTAAGAATGACTAGGACAAGCTCTAATAATAAAATGTATTCTCATATACACGAAATTGTTGAACTTAAAAATCAAGGCAAAAGTTACCTTCGTTTTAAAGATACTAACGTGAAGTACCATGCCCAACCTAGCATACGAGATGAACTTAAACTTAGTATCCATAAGCCAGTGATAGATTATTCTTCTGATATCTTGGAGCTTTTGTCGGAATTGCATATGCCTATCATTAGTGAATGTCATGAGAACCAAGTCCAACTGTTCTAGCATTCATCTTCCCCTATAGTGCATCCATAGGGCGGTAATTTGTGAGAGGATCGACAATTAAAAAATACAATGAGAAAGTGCACTTGTTAGTCGTGAAGAGATTTCTTTTCTTTCAAAATTTTGGGAGTGGTCTTCATGAGTCCAAAAATTTCTTCTTAAAAGGAATCTTAGAGAGTTAGCTTCTGCATTCAATCCTGCTACAAATGATTATCAGCATCCAAACTCTATTTACATAGCTCTTTGTGAGGTTTGGTGTCCAGAAACCAACACCTTTGTGATCGCAGATGGTGAAATTGACATTTTCTTTGGGATATCCGTGAGATTAGTAGACTTTCAATCATGGGTCATTATTATGAAGTAGTCCCAAGCCTTTCAGAGTTGACAGATGACCTCCCCTGGTCTTGCTTGCATCTTTTTAATGTTTTCTCATTAATTGTTAATGAGAAAAAATATGATAGTCTTACTCATGCTGCTTGGGTCGAATTTTGGTTTCGAGAAAATGGTTGTGTCCAAAATCCTCTACAAGACAAAGCTTATAAAAATGCCATGAATTTAAATCTATTTAGAAGGCATCGGCAACGGGCATCAACAGAAATAAGGAGGCCCGTGGTTGTATACAAACCAAAAGATATTTCTCGTAGAGACCGACTTCATTGAAGTGGTTTGTCAATATCTTTATTTATGGAGGAAGAAGAAGAGTTAGAAATAGTAGCTTATCTCTCCCTTGATTTTGTCGTTTTGTTCTTCCATATGGTGATGAATGCATAAGAGTTGAGATTTTAGAGCATCTTTTAAGATGGCACGCGGATACACTTACAACCTAATGTTTTAAGAGTGATTTAGAGGAAATTTGACTGAAACAATAGTAACTTACAAATCCACTTCAAACAATTATCTAACAGAAGAACCAATACTTCTAAATGAAAAATATAATTTGATCACGAGTCAATTATGCTGTATCGACTTGACTATCCCACCACTAAAAATTCGACGCCTTAAAATTATAGTGAAGTGTCAAGATTTTAGTTACGGGACACTCAAGTTCTTTTATCAGCACTAGACTCGGATATTATTAATTGTTAGAGGACGAGTTTGTACGATATACATAAAATATAATCTATTATCTAATCATTTAACAAAAAATAAAAAAAATAAAATTATGTGTTTAACTAAAGGCAACAGACAGTTATAATTTTATTAGTCTATGGAAAAACATTATTAATTTCATACTACTGACAGCCATGTCACAGATGGCATAGTTTAAGGATTAAATACATGCATAATTCTCACTAATTAATTCTAGAGAGATTAGTGGTCACAATCAAAGAATTGAACTCTCCGTTTTAAAAATCACTACCTCATTACATAAATTTAAGGTTTAACAATAATATTTCCAGCAACAATGGCAGCATGCATGACCTTGTTAATGACTTGAATAACTTCATCGACTTTACATGTGTTTCCTTTGAATGTGGAAGCTCCTGATTTCTTAAATCTTGCTACACAGTTTAGGAAATCTTGATTGCACTGCTTGTTCAAGTAATCTGCATTAAAATGACGTCCACATGAACATTAGTTTTTTTATATCATATGTATTTGTGCACAGTTTTCATAAATAGGTGACAAAAGAGATTTGAATTCAAAATTGCTTTCATATTATGTTATTCTCATGTAATTTGTATTACATGAGAACCAGTTGTCATAGACACGACAACCACAGAATAATCTAAAACAAAAGTGCTATCATTGTATTATTTTAATTAAAAAAAGTGTTAGTAAGTGACACACCTTAGGTTAAATTCAGTATGCTACAGGACCCTATAGGTACACCCAATTCATTTTTTTTATTGAAGGTCTTATATCAAATGTTTAAGAAATGGGCAATGATCCTTGACAGTTACTATGTAAAACTATATTACTTCAACATTTAACTTGTTAGAGAGATGAAACAAAAATTTATTTAAACTTTATCTTCAGCAAGTATGTTGTGGTTACACTCGTCCACGTAGACGCAAAGAGAAACAATTAATTATTGCCTATATAAAATAAATTATTAGGAGGTTTTTTGTTTTTTTTTGTCTACCTAATCTGCATGCGCTGAACATGGGGAATACCAGCTTTCATATGGCAGAAAACTTGGATATATAGGACATGGTAAGGACATGGACAATGAAAGTAAACAATAATTAAAGCAAATAAAGAGGATGAATCCAGGTAGGACGGAAACTTATAAAATGATAAGAGTTTTCATTTCGGACGTATTTTGAAAATTGGAACTCTTTGTAAACGTAAAAAATTTCCTAATTTTCTTATTATTATAATAAATTTCAGAAAATTTAATGAAAATGTGTGACAATTAACATAAAAATAGGTTTAGATTGAACTCGAGTTCTAGAAACGACAAATTAAGCACTCCACGGTTTGTGACTTGACTGGTGCCTAAGTCAAGTTTACACATGCATCTTGTTTGGTTTTTTATTTACATGCTTGGAATGATAGATCGAACTTTGCTAAATTTTCTTTGGACATATATATTGGTTCGGCCATGTCTGACCCAAGTTAAGAAGATGTTAAATCATGTAGTTAGGTTGAAGGGGCCAAGAAAGTATATTCTAACAGGCTTAACTTGTAGAAAACAAAAACTTACTGCCTTTAATTTGTATACACAGATCATGCTTCATACAGCAAGCATCTAAGCGGTCACAAGGCTGCTCTCCTGGACATCCAGTGTATAGAATTCCACAGTACTTTCCATATCTTAAAAATGGAGGCACTGCAAATAAAATTTATTCATTTATTCAATAATAAAATATAATAATATGGTTTATAGAAGACAAAGGATTCACCTCCACAAAACTTTGATTCACATGTTCTACTGCATTCTTTATTCTACAAAAACAAGAAAAAATCATTTAAATTATGTGGGCTAAAGAGAAAACTAGCTATGAAAACTGCAAGCAGTCGTGTAGGCTTGATCTCACGATCTGCTGCTAAAGATTCACTAACCAAGGATAGCTGGCCTCCGTCTGCATGGATACCGATGTTAAGGGCATGCATTGGAAGAACGTAGAAAGTGGAAAGCAAGACAAGAAGATATGAAAACTTCAATGAGTGCGAAGGAGAAGCCATTGGAAAGTGAAAAGGGAGAAAGAGTTGCAGAAACCAGTACTGAAAAATGGAAGCTTTGGTATGCTTAAAATCTCTGATTAATAGGGAGAAATAATTGGAGAAGGTATGAGAATTGTGTTAAGGGGAGATTCAAGTCTTGTTTTGTATAGTCCCGTGACATGTTTCTTGTACCATGGTTTCATATATATATTTTTTATCACCTAATGGAATTATAAAATAATTTTTGGATTAAGTTATCTCCAAAGTTAAATTATTCTATTTGTTCGGGGGTTTGTGAGGATGGCATTTTGGACCTTTTCTTTTCTTTTCTCAACCTACTCTTTCAACATTACAAAAAGGGGACATATTGTATGTTTGATATAGATTTTTAGCAAATAAAGTTGATATATATTGGTAGATCTCATAAAATACGCGATTAAAAGTTGTAAATGGAATAAAATGTGGGTAAAAATAAACTTTTACAAGTTTTTAACAAAAAATAACTATATCAAACATGCCCAAAATCAATTTAATGACGAACAACACAATGTCACATAGCTGTAGGGAAAATATTGGAGAATCAA